TGGTCCAGCAACGTCAAGAGAATTTGTAGGCCTCTTGATGAAGGCTGCTCCCAACACACAAACGTTGTGCGTTGCTGCTCTAGGTAATGAGATCTCACTCATTCCTGAAACTCGAAGTGACAAATAAGTTGTCCCTTCGAGCTCTAGTCGATTGTGGGGCATCCAACAATTTTGTGCGACGCCAATCGCTAGAAGATGGTCACTTTAAGTTCAGTGAATGTGACACACCTCCTACGAGGATGACGGTACGTCTTGGACGGCGCATCCGTAACCGTCATGAAGCGTATAGTGAAGATCCACTATACGCTAGAAGATACCCAATATGACGATGACTTTATCGTATTGGATTTGGATGACGAATTTGATGTCATCCTTGGAATACCGTGGCTCAGAAGGTACGAACCACGGGTAAACTGGCAACATCGAACAGTAACGATGCCTGCCGCTTGTTCATCAGATGACCATCTTATGAACGTTTTGGAGGGTCCACAAGCGTGTGGATGTACTACGAGTGAGTGCGATGGCCTCACTTGTGGTACGGTCGTTAGTACGACTGCACACAACCTTAGTGTACCAAACGGTTACACTTCGGAGCAAAGTTTTGGCGGCTGTGAGGAAACACAGGCTGCGCCGAAGGTCCACCACTCGAATAAGTTGAGTGGACCGGGACAAAGATGTATCCCTATCGGGGAACATCTGGAAGAGAAACATCGATTGCTCAGGTTAAGCGAAACGATAATCCTAGATCGACTGAAGAGTCTTTCGTAGAGGATCTCGCTGTGGTTGCGCAACCCCAGCTAGAGGAAGTAAAGGGAATAAGTCCCAAGACTACAAATACGGCGGAAATAAGTTCCCCGAAACCCGCGGGAATAAGTCCCCGGGAAGCCGAAGGAATAAGTCCTTCGAACCCTGAGGGAATAAGACCCCAGGAAATTACAGAGACATTGAATGTCATAGTCAATAACGCATCAAGCGTAGGCGCTTATACACTTGATCTGATTGCGCCTCCGAAGTTGACTTCGGAGATCACTCAGTTGCCAACGCTCGAACATAAAAGGTTCTTGCGTGATCTGCGTAGTGGCAAAGTCAAGCAGATCTGCGTACTCGTCGCTGACGACGAGTGTGTAGCCGACATTAGGTCAGCAACAATGCTTACTGAGAACGAGAGAGTTCTCAGTAGTTCATCTATGGACAGAGTGTCCTAGATGGAAAGACGCGAGTTGAGCGATATGACTCCCAATCGTGGGAATCGCTCAAGACAAATCCTCTCTATGAAGATTTGGTTGAATTCAAGGATGTATTCCCTGAAACTTTTCCGTGCGAATTACCGAAGGATAAAGGTATTCGACACGAGGTCGAACTGAAGCCCGGTTCGAAATACTGTGTCATGAAGCAGTGGCCACTGCCTCGTGAACAAGTACTTGCGATCGACAAGTTCTTTGCCGATCGCTTAGCTGCGGGTCATGTGAGGGATTCAACTTCCCCACATAGCTCTCCGACCTTCTGTGTGCGAAAAGCAACAGGAGGGTGGCGGATAGTGCATGCATTTAACAATTTGAATGCTGCAACGGTACCGGCTCAGACGCCGATACAAAGGAAGGACGTAATCATTGATGATATGTCAAAGAGTACCATCTTTTCGTCCATGGATTTGATGGATGGCTTCTATCAAATCCTTATGCGAGAAAGGGATATACCCTATACCGCAGTGAGCACGCCTAGCGGCATGCTCTGGGAATGGCTAGTAATGCCACAAGGGCTTAGTAATGCCCCTGCCACGTTCAACAGATGTGTATCACATCTGTTGAGACCAGTACGAGAATTCGCACCGAGTTATTTTGATGACGTACTCATCCATAATCGGGCTATGGATGGAAAGTCGGATGTTGAGGTTCACAGGTACCACGTCCGACAGGTTCTTACAATCATGCGAAAGCATCAATTGTATGCTAACCTCAAGAAGTGTATATTTGCAGCAAGCGAATTACCACTTCTTGGGTGCATCGTTGGTAAGAACGGTGTACGTCCTGATCCCGAAAAGATCAAGGCGATCACCGACTGGCCTGTGCCGGTTGATGTCAAAGGTCTGTGAAAATTCCTTGGGCTAGCGGCGTATTTGCATAAGTATTCGCGCAATTACGCCGAGATGACTGTGCACCTCTCTCGTTTGTTGAAAAAGAACGAGAGGTGGTTATGGAACGCTGAATGTCAGCGCTCCTTTGAGGGTATCAAGCAGAGCTTGATACAATCCCCAGTCCTAGCAATTGCCGATCAGGACAGGCCATTTCATGTGGTCTGTGATGCCAGCGATTTTGCAATCGGCTGTGCATTAATGCAGTAAGATCTTGAAGGCGTTGAACGCGTCGTCTGCTATCGGTCGCGTCAGCTGCAACCAGCTGAGCGGAACTATCCAGTGTATGACAAGGAACTCCTTGCCATGAAGTATGCACTCGCGAATTTCAAAGTATATCTCTTAGGAGATAGACCCTTCATTGTTTACACTGACCATGCGTCATTACGCACGGCAGTGAACAGCCCGCACCTTTCACAACGAATGACGCGGTGGTTGTCATTCTTTGCAGCATACAACTCTACGGTCGAGTACAAACCAGGACGACTTAATGTCGTCGCTGATGCACTCTCACGTCGTCCCGACTTTGAAACAGTCGTGAAACCCAACAGTGAGACAGTCACTGTTGCGGTTATGACGTCCTCAGTCCCATCTACAACGTTGTATGATGATGTGAGGCGGGCATACGCCCAAGATGGTGAGATAGTGAAGTTGTTGACACATCTCTTCCAACCATCTCGAGAATCGTTGAAACGATTGTCGCCTGCGTATCGATCTGCATCAGATCGATACACTACTCGTAACGGTTTACTGTATTATACAGCCGTTTCTGGTGACACACCACGTGTTGTCATTCCAGATGAAACTGATCTGCGTTTGCGGATCATGTTCGAGTATCACGATGCTCCTATAGGAGGACATCGTGGCCGAGAGAAAACATATCTCACGGTGAGTCGAGACTTTTACTGGCCCCGCCAGTATTAGTTTGTGAGAAGTATGTTCGCGCAGGCGAAGTCTATCAACGAGTGAAGTCAAGTCCTTCACTGCGTGCACCTTTACAGCCTCTACCGGTTCCGGCTGAGTGCTGGGAATCCATCTCAATGGATTTCGTCTTCGGGTTACCTAAAGACGCACGCGGTAATACGGGTATTCTCGTATTTGTTGACAGATTCAGCGAAATGGTACACCTTGTGGCTGTACCAGAGTCAATCACGGCAAGTGGCTGTGCTTGTGTCTTTGTTGACACCATCTTCCCACTTCATGGGTTGCCCCGTGAACTCGTATCAGACAGAGATCCACGATTCACTGCTGATTTCTGGCGTTCCGTGTTCAAATCACTCGGAACGCGCTTGAAGATGTCGACATCTGATCATCCAGAGTCAGATGGTCAGACGGAACGTGCCAATCGTGTCCTTGAAGAGATACTTCGAGGATACGTACACTCCTTTAAGAGTTGGAGTGAGTTCTTGCCAATGTAGAGTTTGCCATTAACAACTCGGTGCATGCGTCCACGACCCATACACCGTCTTACGTGAATGGCTTACGCCATCCGCGTGTACCCACCTTACTGAGTGTAACTCTGGTTTAAGGGGGCGAGGGAATCGCGCGAGCAAAACCCGATTTGGTTCACGCTCATCACGCTCTGACGATGAGGTCATTGCGTTTGATGCCGATATCGATAACATCGATATCGAAGAAGATGATGCCAGTAAGAGTGCGGAAGCCCTCACTGAAGAAAAGATTGTTGTTGCTGCAGTGCACTCACAGCGCACTGAAGCTAACGAGTCACCAGATGAGTTCATACTGGCTCGTAAAACGGTAGTCTGTTTTGTGCAAGATTCCATCGCTGAAGCGGTGGAAAAGCAAAAGCAAAACGCAGACAAGAATGGAAGGGCAAACACTCTTTTATTTAATCAAGGTGACTTAGTCCTACTGTCTACGGTTAATCTACCAAAGCATGTAGTGACTAACTTGGGTAGTAGTCAACTTCTACCCAAGTACATCGGTACATTTCCTGTCTTGCATCGCCTAGGCAACGCATACACGATCGAGTTGCCACGTAAGATGCGAACGCATCCCACGTTTTACGTTGGTCGGCTTAAGCCGTACCATCGGTACGCTGCTTCTTCCGATGAAAAACGCTTATGCGCTCAAGCATCTCGCAGAGAGCCTTGTGCTCCCGATGGTGGGCATCGACAAGGGTCTGAAGAGCAGTTATCTCATCCCGAGACCGATCAACAATCCCACGAGCTACCCTTAGCTCGTCACGAAGAGATGTCAGAGCTATCTCGTTCTCAAGCTGAGCAAAGGCAAACTCAGCTCGATACTTCGAGACAGTGTCCGCCAGTTAAAGACGCCCGTCCCGCTCATGTTCGAGATCGCCGCGTAACCCTTGCGTTACGCGATCAAAGAAGCTCTCGGGAACACACGCTTTCCCACGATTGTGTGGAGAGCGTCTTCCCTCCTCCTCCACCTCCATTAGAGGACTCTCGCGGTGGCCAGCACTATCTGGTCGAGCAGCTGTTGAACCACCGCGACGTGAACGGACGTCGGACGAGTTATCTCGTCCGGTGGCGCGGCTATCCCCCGTCCTGGGATACTTGGGAGCCCCGCTCCCAACTGATGGTTGACGTACTGGGTCTGGTCGAGCAGTACGACGCGGCACATCCTGTGCCGCAGAAGGACCGCCGGAGAAAATCTTCCCGGCACGGTCGTAAAGGAATTTCAGGTTGTCATTCCCTTCGTACATCTCAGTAGAGATACGTACGCGCCACCACGGGCTGTTAGGGAGGTAAGCCTCCTTAAGTGTTCGTGCAGAGTTGTTCACACTACATGGGCACGAGTCCCCCCAAGAGAGGCAGGGTAGTCCTTTCTCCTTAGACGGACGATGCAGCTTGTAGCGTGCACCTGTCGGGGTTCGCTTTTTAAACTAATCACTAGCTTTGATAAGTTTGTCGTTCCGAACGTCACGACATACATCCTCAAGGTTATGGATGTAGGCGTTCCACGCTTGAAGCAGTGAGGGACCATCACGCTTGTGATTCCCACTGTACCATCGATGTCTAAAGAAAGCATCGATGAAGAATTCGTTCTCAGCGTGATAGTTTTTCACACTGAGGTCAAGGTGATGGATCCTTGACGAATCGAACAACCGTGCTCGATAACGATCACTCGTCGTCGCCGACAAGTGATCCATGACGGATTTAGGAGGTAGCCATGCCTTCTTCTCGGGAGAGAGACGCAACACACTGCGTTCCCGCTCTTCTTGCGACGTGCCGACAGAAGGACTGGCACCTCGTTGCGAAGTGGTGTCCATAGGAGAACCGACACCACTGTTAGCGCCCGAGTCTCGCGACCTCGAGCGCCTTCGCTTCGGCGATGGTTCATCTGATTCATCAGATGTACCAAAGATGCTGCGACGCATAGCATCATCCATGCCACGCTTGGCAGGCGGTTTGGATTCGATCGCCGTCGATACGGATCCGTCTTCCGTATCAGGAGAGTACGAGACTCCGAGCTCATACTCTGTGAAGACATGAGTGTCTTCATGACCAGCGCCTGCATCGCCAAGTGACACAGGCTGAGTCGCTTCAGCAACCGATGAGACATCAGCTGCTGTGGTTTCTGCTTCGGCGTCCGCACAGAGACGTGCAGACGCGCTCTCGGCGGCCTTGCTCGCGCATCGCATGGGCTTGTTTACCATGCGATGAGATGTTGGAAAGTGGAATCGGACCAACAAGTGCAAACCCTGTCCCAAATGATTTGGGACGAGTATCCATTTAGTCAATCAGTCACTAAAGTGACTGATGGTTAGGGGGGGGTGATGTAACGGGGTGAATCGTTACATAACAATTTATAAGAAATTGTTAATGGAATATAACTATAAGAGTTGTATTCTCAGAATATTGTCATAAGGACAATGTTCTGCAGCACTTACGAGTAGTTCCTAATTGGTTGATATAGGCCATTATATCAACCAACGAAGACGCGCCACGACAGACGCACGCAATGAGTGGTGAGCAGATAGTTGATATGCACATTTGTATTCAGACGTAGTTAGATGAGGATAAATAGTGATTTATTGCAGACATTAACTATTATGAATACAGTTCTACTTTTTACTTTAACCAAGTACTCGCTTCTTCTTACGGTCTTCCTCTGCACGTACGAGTGTACGTGAAGTTCCGAGGCACCGCCTTATTCTGTCCTCAGAATGAGTAGCTTGTACTGTCACCAGTACAAGCTTCAGGGTGCCCCGTTACAACAGGCGCCTGCGTGCCTGTGTCGCTCCCTCTATCACGTATATTTGGTTGGAAATAAGAAGATAAACCGAGGCGCAAAATCTGGCAACATCCAACTGTGATGAGTCAAAATCTTGATAACAAGGACAAGTCGCGCGGCACTATTTAAATATTTTGTTCAGAACACAGAACCTACCTCCTCTTGATGATACATGCGTCTCACACTTCACTGTACTAGAGTGCTAGGGCGCACGTTTCTTATTTGAGCAATGAGCGCATAAACTGGGGTTACTATAAAACGTAGTCGGCCAAAGAGCATCTGACTTTCAGTCGTGTTGATCACGTTTTGTTCGCAATCGTTTCCGCAGGTTTAGTAAGTAAAGGCGCCTTCCATCTACCTTGTTACCTCGAACTGCTTGTTCTGAAAGACATCCTCGACAGATTAATTGCTTAGCTAGGTGCGTAGCTCATTCTTCGCTCATGTAATTACATAAACGTATGACTTGACCGACGTTGTGTTGTGGAAAACGGTGGCTGGTTTCTTAACAAGCGACCTCGGCTTAATGGATTTGCGGCCGCGGATGTCAATGATGAATGAGCATGCCTTCCTTATCTGGAACGTGTGGATTTGATGGTCCAGACACTGCTTAGATCAACAGTCGGGGTGGAGCTTGAAGAGCAGCTACATGGTCCTCTTCATTGAATTCATCCTTGGGTAAGCTCTTGGCGACTCAGTGGATGCGGTCAACGATGGCCTCGATGAACGTACCCGTGCAAAAACGGATAAGCTCTTTAAGGAGCAGTGAAGGCACTAAAGCGAGATTATAGTTGTGGGCACAATCGCATTTGGCTTCGACATTGAACAGATCAATGATAATGGTGTTGACCTTGCATCCGTGTGCATCGGGGACACAGGTGCGCGGATAATGTGTTTTTTTAAACTTTGTATTTTCATTTCGCTCTTGCATGCATCCGCGCTGATACAACAACTCCTACGCAAAAATTTAAGGCTCCTTACAGCGCCTCTTGGTCAGACACCTTCCTCTATTCCTCAACATGCAACTACGCAGTGCATACAGTACTCCTTCCTTTCATCACTCCCTTCACTGTGTCGGTGTTGCATCAGTCCTATCTTCTTGCGATGAGCTGGAAATCGTGGAGCCGCTGGGCTCTTCGTGAGCACAACATCGAGCGTCTTTTCTGTGGTCACGTAGGTAGGATTCACAATCCTTCTAGCCACCGTGTCTTGCATGACCTTGACTTTTACGTCTACATGCTTATGTGCGCTCGACCTAGCTTAGATATCCAGTTGCTTATTAGCCGCTTGGATGTCCACACACGCTCATCGGTAGCTCAACGTTCACGCCAACCTATTCCAGGAGATTGCGCACACGAAGCAGTTCCTTCACACCCGTATCAGCGGCCACGAACTCGGCCTCCACCGTTGGCGGTACCACAAACTACTTCTGCTCCAATTGCCACTACACTCGTGCGTTGCCTACGTACACAAAAGGTCCACTGCTTGACTTGTGCGTTGCTTTTCCCGCTGAGTAGTCAGCGTCTGTAACGGGGCACCCTGAAGCTTGTACTGGTAACAGTACAAGCTACTCATTCTGAGGACAGAATAAGGCGGTGCCTCGGAACTTTACGTACACTCGTACGTGTAGAGGAAGACGGTAAGAAGAAGCGAGTACTTGGTTAAAGTAAAAAGTAGAACTATATTTATAATAATTAATGTCTGCAAAAAAAACCCTGTTTATCCTCATCTAACTATGTCTGAATACAAATGTGCATACCAACTGTCTGCTCACCACTCATTGCGTGCGTCTGTCGTGGCGCGTCTTCGTTGGTTGATATAATGGTCTATATCAACCAATTAGGAACTACTCGTAAGTGCTACAGAATATTTGTCCTTATGACAATATTCTGAGAATATAACTCTTATAGTTATATTCCATTAACAATTTCTTATAAATTGTTATGTAACGATTCACCCCGTTACATCACCCCCCCCTTAACCATCAGTCACTTTAGTGACTGATTGACTAAATGGATACTCGTCCCAAATCATTTGGGACAGGGTTTGCACTTGTTGGTCCGATTCCACTTTCCAACATCTCATCGCATGGTAAACAAGCCCATGCGATGCGCGAGCAAGGCCGCCGAGAGCGCGTCTGCACGTCTCTGTGCGGACGCCGAAGCAGAAACCACAGCAACTGATGTCTCATCGGTTGCTGAAGCGACTCAGCCTGTGTCACTTGGCGATGCAGGCGCTGGTCATGAAGACACTCATGTCTTCACAGAGTATGAGCTCGGAGTCTCGTACTCTCCTGATACGGAAGACGGATCCGTATCGACGGCGATCGAATCCAAACCGCCTGCCAAGCGTGGCATGGATGATGCTATGCGTCGCAGCATCTTTGGTACATCTGATGAATCAGATGAACCATCGCCGAAGCGAAGGCGCTCGAGGTCGCGAGACTCGGGCGCTAACAGTGGTGTCGGTTCTCCTATGGACACCACTTCGCAACGAGGTGCCAGTCCTTCTGTCGGCACGTCGCAGGAAGACCGGGACCGCAGTGTGTTGCGTCTCGCTCCAGAAAAGAAGGCATGGCTGCCTCCTAAATCCGTCATGGATCACTTGTCGGCGACGACGAGTGATCGTTATCAAGCACGGTTGTTTGATTCGTCAAGGATCCATCACCTTGACCCCAGCGCGAAAAACTATCACGCTGAGAATGAATTCTTCATCGATGCTTTCTTTAGACATCGATGGTACAGTGGGAATCACAAACGTGATGGTCCCTCACTGCTTCAAGCGTGGAACGCCTACATCCATAACCTTGAGGATGTATGTCGTGACGTTCGGAACGACAAACTTATCAAAGCTAGTGATTAGTTTAAAAAGCGAACCCCGACAGGTGCACGCTACAAGCTGCATCGTCTGTCTAGGGAGAAAGGACTACCCTGCCTCTCCTGGGGAGACTCGTGCCCATGTAGTGTGAACAACTCTGCACGAACACTTAAGGAGGCTTACCTCCTTACTAGCCCGTGGTGGCGCGTACGTATCTCTACTGAGATGTACGAAGGGAATGACAACCTGAAATCCCTTTACGACCGTGCCGGGAAGATTTTCTCCGGCGGTCCTTCTGCGGCACAGGATGTGCCGCGTCGTACTGCTCAACCAGACCCAGTACGTCAACCATCAGTTGGGAGCGGGGCTCCCAAGTATCCCAGGACGGGGGATAGCCGCGCCACCGGACGAGATAACTCGTCCGACGTCCGTTCACGTCGCGGTGGTTCAACAGCTGCTCGACCAGATAGCGCTGGCCACCGCGAGAGTCCTCTAATGGAGGTGGAGGAGGAGGGAAGACGCTCTCCACACAATCGTGGGAAAGCGTGTGTTCCCGAGAGCTTCTTTGATCGCGTAACGCAAGGGTTACGCGGCGATCTCGAACATGAGCGGGACGGGCGTCTTTAACTGGCGGACACTGTCTCGAAGTATCGAGCTGAGTTTGCCTTTGCTCAGCTTGAGAACGAGATAGCTCTGACATCTCTTCGTGACGAGCTAAGGGTAGCTCGTGGGATTGTTGATCGGTCTCGGGATGAGATAACTGCTCTTCAGACCCTTGTCGATGCCCACCATCGGGAGCACAAGGCTCTCTGCGAGATGCTTGAGCGCATAAGCGTTTTTCATCGGAAGAAGCAGCGTACCGATGGTACGGCTTAAGCCGACCAACGTAAAACGTGGGATGCGTTCGCATCTTACGTGGCAACTCGATCGTGTATGCGTTGCCTAGGCGATGCAAGACAGGAAATGTACCGATGTACTTGGGTAGAAGTTGACTACTACCCAAGTTAGTCACTACATGCTTTGGTAGATTAACCGTAGACAGTAGGACTAAGTCACCTTGATTAAATAAAAGAGTGTTTGCCCTTCCATTCTTGTCTGCGTTTTGCTTTTGCTTTTCCACCGCTTCAGCGATGGAATCTTGCACAAAACAGACTACCGTTTTACGAGCCAGTATGAACTCATCTGGTGACTCGTTAGCTTCAGTGCGCTGTGAGTGCACTGCAGCAACAACAATCTTTTCTTCAGTGAGGGCTTCCGCACTCTCACTGGAATCATCTTCTTCGATATCAATGTTGTCGATATCGGCATCAAACGCAATGACCTCATCGTCAGAGCGTGATGAGCGTGAACCAAATCGGGTTTTGCTCGCGCGAGTCTCTCCCCCCCTTAAACCAGAGTTACACTCAGTAAGGTGGGTACACGCGGATGGCGTAAGCCATTCACGTAAGACGGTGTATGGGTCGTGGACGCATGCACCGAGTTGTTAATGGCAAACTCTACATTGGCAAGAACTCACTCCAACTCTTAAAGGAGTGTACGTATCCTCGAAGTATCTCTTCAAGGACACGATTGGCACGTTCCGTCTGACCATCT